TTGTTATGGTGGCTTTGATGTTACGTAGCATTGCTTTCTTAATGGAATCATGCTCAATGTAGAAATAAATAAGTTAATTGAATGTACTTTATTTTGTTACGATTGAAGGTGGCCTACTTTCTTTAAACGAATTGCCGTTTGAAGATATTTTAGTCTGGAGCGTAAAACGTAGTTTTAAAAAATCCTTGTGTAACTCTGTAATGGAAAATACTAAAGCTACTTTCATCAGTGCATGGATATATACTTTAGAATAGCAAATCCAATATCTTAAAAACATTTTAATATCAATTTTATTGAGAATACACGAATATACAGGGACATGAATTTACTGCAACAAAACTGGATTGTCTAGGACGTAACTTATCTTATAAAGTGGAAGCTGATTTTGAACTGGAAAAAAGATTTCAATTTCGAAACAAACACTATCAAGAAAGGAAACTTTAAACTCCCATTAAATTACTCAAAAGACATAATTATGCTGTTGTGTGTTAATGGTCAATGTATAACAAATAAAATCGAACAGTTTGAGATAATAATGGGCCATGTTCACATGTGAGATATGCTGTTTTATAAATTATATTGTAATAGTTAGTCGCTATACAAGTTATTCTAAATAGTCAGTTCGTTAAAAAAGCCAAAAGTTTTTAAATTAAGCCCAATTGAAATTTAAAATTTGAAATTATACGTCATCGGGAATAGACCAATCATCTTGTGTCGAAGTTTTTTTTGTTATACAAAACCAAGCCAACGAACAAACCAACACACAGAATGTCGAAGTGAACGCACATCCAAGTGACATTAAAATTGACACCACCTAACATCAGTAACATCTAACCTTAGTTTTTTGTTTTGGTTTAATTTTATTATTAATATGAATCAGCTGGATTTATAGAAGTTGAATCAAGTGTTTTACCCATTGTAAACGAAAATATGATTACCGAGATGATTACTGCATTTTTTAACAATACTCAGTTTACAAAAGTCAGAAAGGTAAGACTTTGTTTTAATAGTAGGTAGTTACAGTTTATATGGAGTAAGTAAAACATATTTATCTCAGGTTTTATTTTTAGATCTGCCAAGCAAGAATATGGGGATAATTTCTTTTTCCATAAGAGAGAAGGAGACAAATTACACCTAAACATAAAGTACGGCAAAAACCTTCTGATGTGGTTGCCTTGTAATTAACAAAAATGAAATTTTTAGTGCACAATATGCTTAGGATATGCTGTATGTCAAGGTTTGTAATATTTATTATGCTTTTTTGTTTTTATATTACATATAATAAACAGTGTATAAGGCCCTTTATTCCTATAAATATTTTTTTTCTAATTTTGACATATAGACATTTTTTGTAATCACAGCAAGTGTTAAAATAATCTAGAAACAGATTTTGTTAGTGAACCTAGTAATAATTATGATATCAAAGAATGCTGCAGAGCACCTATGAAATTTTGAGTTAAAAAATATGCCATATTTTTAGGCAATTTTTATACCCTTTTCAAAAATTTTATGCTCCTCGTTTTTTGCAAAACTTAAAATGCTCTATAGCTTCGAACAAAGTCAGCAAAGCACCTCTATTTTATAAAGTTTTTTATGTAAAAACAGCAACACCATATATTTATGCACTTGAAATATTATATTTTTAAAAATACATGGTGCTTGCTAACCTTCGAAAGAAGCCAGCAGAGCAATTCGGTTTTTTAAAGTTTTTTTCTAAAAACCACACCCCATTTTTAGAATATTTTTAGACTCTTGAAATATTGTAAAACTTTACTAAAAAAATTGCTATTTTTAAATAATACAGGGTGCTTTGTTGGAACAAAGTCAGCAGGACACTTCAGTTTTTTAATTTTTTTTTTTTATATATAAAAACAACTACTTATGACACATGTTTGGGCTGTTTTAAAATCCTAAAAATGTGGTAAGTACATTTGTTTTCAGAAAAAAACTTTGAAGTCAGCAAGGAATTGCGAATTTTTTCTAAAATGCCAAATTTTGAATATTTTATATTGTAGGAGCCAAAAAACGTGGTGTGGTTTAAAAAAAACTGGGGTGCTCTGCTGGATTCGTTTGAAGCTAACAAAGCATCCCGTAATTTTTTATTTTATAATACTCAATAGCCTAAAATGAGACATAGCTGTTTAAACAAAAAATTGTATTTTTAAAAATAGCAGTTTTTTTCGAAAAGCTATAATATTTCAAAAATGTGAAAATGTGGTGAGATTGTTTTTTTTTAAGTTTTGAAAATCCGAGGTTCTTTACTGGATTCGTTCAGAGCTAGTAAAGCTCTGCTCGTCTTGTTACATAAAATAAGGCATGTTGTAGCTGGTTATATAGTTATTTTGTAACTGCATATCTAACCCTTTTATTTTTTTCAGGTGGTTGTAAACATGTAGCTTTTTTGCTGTGGCTTCATAGAGGGAGTGAGAAACCAACTGTAACATCTACTCAGTGTTATTGGAAAAACCTCTTAATTTATCAAAATGCGTAAATATTGATGTACACTTGGCTAGATTGTTAAAGAAACCTCTTCATCCACTACAGGAAAATAAATCAGTACTTTTATATTCTTAGGATTTGTTTAAAAGTTAAAACATTCTATTATTATAATTGATCCATTTTCTAGAAACTGAAGATGTAGAGACATGTCATGTGCTCTAAGAGGTAAATTGCTCCATATCAATTACTCAAAATGATGGTCTGTTGGTCTGCGTGGAGGCAGCATGCTTGCTAATTGTAATGAACAAACTACCAGAATTACTCCTTAGGTCTTTAATGTTTTTTTATATATTTTAATAAGGTTGTTGCTACGCAAATACCTGGGTCTATATAAAAGAAAACAGATGGTTTAACATGGGACGAACTCTATTGTTAGCTGATGTCTTTATTCTTTTCGTTACATTTTTCTGAATTTCTTGTTTTTTTCTGCCAAAATATAAAATTTGAATAAGCTAATCAATAAACACTGCTAAATTATGGGTAAGGTTTAGACACTACATTTTTGTGACCCACGTGATTTCTTATTTAAGCACATCTGGTCTTAAACCAAAAATACTTCTAAAAAGTCTTTTTACCCGAAAATATTGTGCAAATTCAGAATAAGCTATTTGCGCTATAACTAATATACACATTGGTTGCTAATAAAAAATTATTTTAATATTTAATACGTCAACTTCCTATAAAGAAATGAGGTGCAATATGAGTTTAAAAATTTAATTTTCTACACTCATATTTGGATTTTTCAAAAAGATGTTTATCTTTCTTGAACTAATTTATGTATATAGTAAATAACTTACTTTTTTTTTAAGTTTTAAATCTTCTGATAAGCTTGAAATGTTGTTCTTACCTAGAAAAAAAAAAGAAAAAAATACATAAATAAATTTTCAGGATAATAAATCAAGGATGTTAAAAAATTTAAATCATTTAAAATTTAAACAAAACATATTTATCTTATCATTGATTGAAGATTCAAGATGAATCCTGTTAAGTATAGCTAATAAATTGACCCTTATTCTGTTCCAACGCAAACATGGTACGTACTTAACAAAAAACAGTCAATCCAAAATAATCTGAAATGTCATGAAATATTAAAGGGAAACTTTAATTAAAATAAATAGGACAAGCAGAAATAACTTTTTAAACGAAATATTAATGGAAATAGTTTATCGGATTCGTGGAGTCTAAAAATAGTACATAATTTAGAAATTTAATTCATTTATGAAAAGTTATATTTAGTTTTTATATACGTTAATAAATAATAAGATTGAAATTAGATGCATGCAAATTTTAGATTCAAGCCAAAGAAATAGTAAAATTATTAGGTATGCTTTTCAAAATAGATCAATACTATACCACAGTTTAAAGAATCTTTAAACTGTGTCTATAGCACTAGATGTTGACTTATTTTTGCGAAAACCATGTTGAACTTTACTCAAAAGTCTATTATGTTCTATAAATATAATGAACCTGTTGTTATAGGCCATTTCAAATACTTTAGCCAGTTGACTTTGAATGCAGATGTTGGTGTAGTTTGCCATGTCATTTACAGACACTTTATTTTTATATTTAAAAAAAGACTCGTTTATAAGGTAGGACATAGGTACACTAATATCTTCAGCAATAAGAGACAATATTGTTCCATATTTCATACCGGCAGATTTTTTACAAGTTGTTTTCTGTATAATTTCTGTTATTGCCTTTGGGGTAGTTGGCGATAAAAATAGAGTGCTTATAGAAAAATCTTGAAGCCTTACTTCACTAGTAAACTAATTATTAAATGCATTACATATATTTTGTACATCAAAATTTTACAGAAAAAATTTTGCCTTCTACAAAAATTTATCAATACGAAACTGTATGAATTCTTTAGTGAAATTGTTATGTTATTAAAATTAATTTGTAAGATTCCAATGACCAGTGAAGGAAATAAACGTTGTTTTTCTACATTGAGAAATATTAGATATTTAATGAGAAAACTATTGCAGCAGGATCAACCAAATTCGTTTGCTATATTACACGTATTATCAATTTTTTTGCAAAAAAAACCGAAAACTTGGACAAATTATTTAAAAATCGGCATCAAAAATTGGTTCACCTTACTAAAAATAAAAAACATATAGAAAATTTAAATGCAGAATGTGAAAGAGAAGAAATTTCCTACAGATAATTATAAAGAGGAAATTGAAAAAAGTCGAACATATACAACCAAAATAAAAAAAAAAACATTTTTTTACATTAAATGATGTAAAAATCCCCATGTTTGGGAAAGTTTATACAAAAGTATATTTCCCTATTTTAAAATTACTATATCATGTTTATAAACGATGAATCCTAAAGATTTGATGGCACTACCTTGTGATCCACCAAAATTACAATTCGGTAACACTAGACACACTGTTTTATTTTAGTTTGATGGCGACGGTGAGGGAGTAACAAAAATAAATGAATCTCCACAGTAAGGTAATCGGTCAATGCGGTCAGGACTCTTGTTTTTTTTTTAGTCGAATATGACAGTGGTATTAGTTGGGTCGCGATTGTACAGCCCTCTAACACGGGACATACATCACTGGGCTGTGACAGATGGTAGTCGCATTTCTAGTCGACCGCAATCCTATCACGGGGCGAACGTTAAATATGTTCCTAACGACGTACGTACATATTCAGATGTACCGGATGTCCCCTAAACGGAAGCTCAAACCATCATCTGTTTTATAATAAGCTTGGATGTTACGCTTCTTTCACTCACAACGATTCGATTTTGGACGAATAATAAAAAGATGTACCATGATTTATCATATTTTCAGCTCAGCATACAGGGAATTTTAGTGAAAACTATACATCGTAAATAATGTATGAGGATTATATGAAGAACAAGTCAAAAATAATATAAATCTGGTGACTACCATTATTAAGCTTCGTCTGCCTATCCAACAAGAAGGAAATTATTTGTCCAAAAACTCTCGCACCTTGATAGCGTATCTTATTGAAACGTCAGCAAAGCTTCATACTTATTGTTGGAAATCCTCAATACGGTATTCCTTCCTATCACCCAGTACATTTTTCTGAATTTGATTTCAATTTCTTCTAGTTTCTGCGGAGCCTAGCATCTAGAGTTATATCCAGTACCCAGGTATCATCAAAAGTTCTTCTCTTCTATTATTGGTTTGAATCTTTTATTGATTAATTTTTTATATAATTTAGACATTGTTAGGTGATTTGCCTGGTTTTGTAATCATCATAGCTTCTAGTATTTTCCAGATTTTAGGTATATATTTTTACAATTGCTTTCTTTGAAAGTTGTTTCAAAATTTCATCAAAATTAAGTCAAGACCGGGAGTTTTTTCGGTTTTGTTTTTTTTTATGTTACTTCATTATCATTATCCTTTGGAGAAGTAGATCTAATGATGACATTTTCTGTAATTATTTTAATCCAGCCATTTCTAAAAAATGATCTGCAAATCTACATGCTTTTTGGAAATTCTTCTCTAATATGTAATGGAGTGAAATTTTGGGACAGCCGGTATACACCGTACACGAACACACTGCATCGACTGGCGAAATTAGTCATTTAATAGGCCGTCAGTGCCCGATGTGCTGGTGTCCCATCCGCATCCAACTTCCAGCAGCGGATTAATAACCGCTGTTCTCTTACCTGATGACCGTCATTTACACTAATGGATCGTGTCCTTTCGAGTAAATAATACGACGGATTTGTCAACACTGTATCTCATAATAATGGCGGTCAAAGCGGAAAAAATTCGTTTGCGAGAAAATCGAACCGATCCAAAGGGATTGAGTTCGTTTGAAAAGTGGCGGTTGAATGATACAAGGTACTTAGAAACAGGGTTGGCATAAAATTTCCCCATGTTATAAAACCCAGTGGGTTTTTTCGGAGTTTTTCAATTGATCAAACCCACTATTATTGGGTTTTTTTTTTGGGTTTTTTCAAAAATAGCAAATTTTCAGTTGAAAGAACATCATATACATATATTTATTTCTGAATAAAAACAGAAACTAGCATAAATAACATGAAGTAAGTAGTACAAAACACTTATTTTAAATATGGTATATAGTGAAATAAAAAAATAAACAAGTTTTTTGTTAAACAAAGCATATTAGTTATCAGGAAAATCTGAAATCAGAATCTGTATTTTCGTCACATTCCCATTCCTTAAGACTTGGTTCTTAAATGATTATATATTTTTACCAAGTTTGCAGTTCTATTGGCACCTAATGTGTTGCGAAGCTTAGTCCATATTAATCCATATGAAGAAAAAGTCCGCTCAATAGAAGCAGATGAAGCTGGACATGAGAACAAAGAATGCTCTCTCCTTCCTCCTACCTACTAAAAGGATCACTGAAAGTTTCTTCCTAAGACCAGTAGACAAGCATGAACTAGTGCAAACCATAAACAACATCCAAAATAAATTTTCCTGTGGAATTGATGGCCTGTCCACCAAAATATTTCTAAATATACCGGATGTAGTAATCAACATTTTAACTTCACTGATTAATGAATTCTTTGAAATTGGTCTCTTTCCTAACTGTCTAAAAACAGCTATAATAATCCCACTTCATAAAGGTGGCGACAAAACCAAAACCTGTAACTATAGACCTATCGCGTTATTGCCTACCTTATCGAAGATAGTAGAACGGCTAATGAAAAACCGTCTTTTGCCCTTTCTTTTCAAGCATAACATCCTCACAGCTCATCAGTATGGCTTTCTACCTAAAAAATGCACTAGCGACGCAATGTTTTCCGTTCTTAATGAAATATACACATCACTTAATGATAAACTTTTCACCGCTTCAGTATTTTGTGACTTCGCAAAGGCCTTCGATTGTGTAAATCATGATATTTTAATTAATAAGTTACAAATTTATGGCATACGGGGTTCTCCTTTACAATGGTTTAAAACTTACCTAGAAAATAGAAATCAACAGGTGCGGCGAATGGTGAGGATTCTACAAATCTAGCAATAAGCAGTGGAGTACCTCAAGGATCAGTATTAGGTCCAATTTTGTTTTTATTATTCATCAACGACATCACAGACTTAAGAATAAGTGGTAGAATTACTTTATTTGCTGATGACACCAATGTAACCTGGAATAATTCTAACATGCAGACATTACAATCTATCATAAGTGAAGATCTAGTGACTATTAAGTCCTGGTCTGATTCGAATGGACTTTGTTTCAACACCAGTAAAACTGTAGCATTGTCTTACAGAGGTACTTTACAACCTATAACTTTAAACAATAATCTGATCCAAACGGTGACTTCAATCAAGTTTTTAGGTCTTTATATAGACGATTCTCTAAAATGGTCTGCTCATATAGATACCTTAGCAAAAAAATTATCCTCCGCATGTTTTGCCATTAAATCGGTTTCTAAAGAGCTGACTCCTTCTACTGCATTAATAACCTACTTTTCCTTATTCGAATCTCACCTTCGCTATGGTTTACCTTTCTGGGGTTCTTGTAGCTTATACCTTTTCGAATCTATTTTTAAACTGCAAAAAAGAACAATCCGCTATGTATTTGGTTTAAGTAGTAGGACACATTGCGAAAATTACTTCAAAAATTTCAAAATTCTAACCCTTCCTGCTCTATTTATTTTCGAATCCGTCTGCTTAGTTCGCAAGCACATTCAAAATTTATCCGAAAGACCGACTCGTAGATATCCTACAAGAAATTTAGAGACTGATGTTTATTTAACAATGCCCACTTCTGACCTATTAAAACATTCCATTACCTACAATGCCAAAAAATTGTATAATAACCTTCCGATGCAATTAAAATCTATAAATACATACGATAAGTTCCGAAGACTGGCTAAAGCTTTTCTTCTAGAAAGACCATATTACACAGTAGCAGAATTTTATAACGTACCTTAGACATTTGAGTTCCACATACAATGGCATTAATTAAATAATTAAATATTAAAGTTTAAATTTAAATTTAAATATAAATTTAAATTTAAAAATTAAATTAGAATAATTATAATGACGGATATTGCATATCCATTGCAATTGTTATTCCTATTTTGTCTGTTTGTTTCTGTTTGTTTTTTCTGCTGTTTAGTTATTTTTATAATATGTTTAGTATTTAAGTTACACGCTTTGTCTATAAAATTTTTGTAAATTTTTTTACGACAATAAAGCATATCTCTCTCTCTCTCTCTATACAAAATTCATCTGGTATTTTATTTTTTTGTTATATTTAGCTTCTACCATTTCTTTGTTGAGAATTTTCTGACAAGTTCTTCTTTGAAAAGTGCTGCGGGGTACATATCTGTATCTTTAATCTTGAACGATAACATCACTGCTAAAAACTCATCAGAAAGATTCGATGCAACCCATTGTTCGACTGTTTCCTCTTCTTCCCCTGTAAGTCGTCTTCCCATGTGATTGGGATCCATAGTATTTGCAAAAAGGTGAAATGGTTGAATGGCAAAGTCATATCTCTTTTTTATTTCTTGACAGGTGCTGATGCACTGATGCCAAATGTATTTATATATGTCAAGTTGCCTGCTTTATTTTGTATATTTTGTTTCATTATTTTTGCAATAAGTTATAATTTTTGTAAAACTTTTGATAGACCAGAAACTATATATCAGATCTAAAGAAAAAAAATGAACTATGGGGGGTTATATCAAGAAAGTGAATAAAAACAAAGCAATAGCGATCAGTGGTGACGCGAGAACCCTCCATGGAGGGGGGGTTGTTCTGACCTCCCCTTAGTGGCTGCGCCACTGGTTACTATGTTATAACTCTAGAACGGTAACGTTTTCGAATATAATCATGAATTTTATCTAATGCTTACATTCTATATGGTAAATATACAGTAATATGGGGCCTGTATGGTCTATATTATTTGTATCGATATAATCACAAATAAATATATTATTTTTTAATGTCAAACGCTGCTTTTTGTAGCATTCTTTAAAATAAAAATCATTATTTAATAAATATTCTTGAATCTTTTGTTTTGCTGAAAACAGTAAAGCATTTTGATTCCAATCTCTGTTTGATCCGTTATTGTATCTTTAGATATCAGGGGTAATTATTTGATGTATATTAACTCTTTTTAATTGACAGATCCCAACTTAATCCAATTTTTTCAAAAAATCTATTCGTATCTGTTTGACTAGTCTATTGAAACGACCTTCAAATTCCGAAACAATCCTGGCTGCGCTGAATCAAGTCACCGTTGGATCTAAAACCATTTATCTTTTGTTTTGACGCGCTCTGATAAGGCGGTGGGGTTAACGTTAGTCAACTGTTCATTTATTCTACGCCAACTGGCTCTCGTCATCAGCGCTTTTTTTGCGATCCTGAAAAAGGGCTTGCGACCGTGGGCCCTGCTTTGACTAATATCGCGCCGGTTCATGGGACTGGATGTTGCGATTCGTGGTGATTTGTAAATTACGACGGTTTTTTGTGCGTAGAGGAAAAAAGAGCCAGTAGATTCGACGCGTCTGTTTTTTTTTTTTTTGATTAAAATGTTTTTTAAAGATGATAAATGTCAATTTTATCGAAGGTTTGTTATTTTTATCGTTAGGATCGGCCTATTTTCTAGCTTTAAAAAGAAAGTTTGGTTCTTTATGTAATAATTTTTGTTGCCGCTGAATTTCCCGCTAAGATTACCTCCCAAATGAAGTATCAAATGGCCCTATTACAAA